GTTATGGGGAAAGGTCAAAGCTGTGAGGAGCGAAAAGCCACGAAGTCGCAAGTCGGTGTTTTGCTATCACGCCTGTTCACATCGAGACCCCACCAAAGCTCGCAGCTTGTCTCCATTTTGCTCACAACAGGAGCAACAGGAGAAGTTCAGGATTGTCTTGGGAAACCAAACCCCAAGGCCCAAACGCAGCAGGGAGTCCGGGGGACAGGGGGGGGGGGGGGCTCAAACGTGGAAAACCCATGGATCCAGAAGTTTAAAAAAATTAAATCCTGATTTAATTGTTGTGTTTGGGTTGGGTTTTGACCTACCTCGACATACCTTCTCCCTACAAAAACACAATGAAATCGTGATTTAATTGTGTTTCTTTGCGTTTGACTGGAAGACAATTAAATCGTGATTTAATGGTATAGCAAAGACTTGTGCTAATTGGTACGGGTTGCACAATTAAATCATGATTTAATTGTACTATTATTACTATTATTACTATTAGTCTTATTATTCCTATTACTATGAGTCTTACTACTATTATTATTATTATTATTTTGACTACTAGTCTTAATATTACTATTACTATTCGTATTACCATTCTTATTCTTATTCTTCTTCTTATTAGTATTTTCTTATTATTATTATTACTATTACTATTACTCGTATTACTGTTACTATTGTTATGAGTAGTATTATTATTCTTCTTATTGTTACTACAATTATAATTATTACTAGTACTATTACTCGTATTACTGTTACTATTGTTATGAGTAGTATTATTATTATTCTTATTGTTACTACCATTATAATTATTACTATTACTATTACTCGTATTACTGTTACTATTATTATGAGTAGTATTATTATTATTCTTATTGTTACTACCATTATTATTATTACAACTATTATTATTCCTATTACTATCATTATTACTATTACGATTACTATTACTATTACTATTATTATTATTATTACTATTACTATTATTATCACTATTATTACTATTATTGTTCTTATTATTACTCTTACTCTAGGGGGAACAATTAAATCCTGATTTAATTGTTTCTGCGGGTTGGGGTCGTCTAGAAGAAACAATTAAATCCTGATTTAATTGTTTTCCTTGAGCAGCTTGCCGGCATGGCATGCTACGTCGCGCGACGTTAACAGGCAATTAAATCGAGAGTTAATTGTGCTGGACCTAAGGGGCGTCGAGCCGGCCCGATGCCGGTCAATTAACTTCAGAGTTAATTTTCCTTAACTCTTGGATCCACTGTCTTCCCTCAAACGTGCAAAAGGTCACGACTTGTTGCACTGTAGAATGTTGAGCAACCGAACCGAAGTCCGGACGCGCCCCTCTAACCTAACTCACCTGACCCACCTGACCCCCGACAAGGGGTCCTGAATCCTGCAGGAAATAGACGGTCAGCGCCATCAAAGAGAATGCCAGGCTGGAGGAAGCTTCGAAATGAGCCGGGACTGGGGGCTCAAAGTCCAGGAGCACAAAAGCGACGAGGCCAACGCAAAAGTCAGCCCCGCCAAACAGGAGGTTTCCTCAGAGAGAGGGCCCCAGCACGAGTGCGCACTGCACTGAAAAGCACGCCTGAGTAGCCAAAGCAAAGGAGGGAAGCCGGCAGAATCACAGCAGAACAAACAAGAGAATTGCACGCGACCCCAGCCCTTCAACGAAATTGCTTTCGCCACCCCTTCGTCCTGATGAACCCTTCTTGGATCGCTGCAGGCGCAGAGGGCGCTGGAGCCCTGGCCACGGCCCTGGCCGCGCTGCGCCTCGAGGAGCCGGCGTGGCGGAGCCGAGAACGGCCAATACATAAGCCTGCTCTGCTCGTCATATTGTGTGCTCCTCCTCCAAGTTAGGGTTTGAAAAACCGTTGTCGGCTTTCGGTGAGACCTTCGTTGCTTGCACTATGAAAATGAATAGCCCAGCCCAAAAGTCCAAATGGGGAACGGGCTTTTGGGCTTCACAAAGGGAAGTGGGCAAAAGCTGCTCAAGCCAGCTTGTTAGGTGGGCTCCAATGGGCAGCTGTATGTTCAAGGCTTGAAGGGTCCTCCCCCCTGCAGCGGCACCCCAAACCGGCTTCGAACTCTTTTGGTCGGCCATTTCAGCAGCCACAACTTGTAGACAGATATCCAGCAAGGAATTGTGTCAGGCGCTTGCACAGTCTCGCCCAGATCAGGGTGAGGCAGATCCTTTCTTCTAGGCGGGCTTGAAAGATGAACCCACAAGCCCCGCAGGAACCCGCGCAGAAGCACTTTTCCGCCCTCGGAGGGATGTTCGCCCAATTCCCGTCGTCAGAGTTGTTTTGTTTTGACAAGGATGTGGGAGCGCCCGGAAGACTTTGGCCAAACACATGCCCTATGGCTCCAAACAAGGTGTTGAAGGGCGGCCTGAAATCCCTGTAAAAGTCGCGCGTGTATTGCCCAAGCAGCTTGCGCACAACAAAGAGCGCGCAAACCCCACGAGAGGTTACCAGATTTCAGCCCTGCAGCTCCCTGATGCCGACATCTCCAAGCCAGCTGCGCATCTCTGCGCCCTCCAGGAGCTGGTGCTGAACTTGGGCAGTAACGAGCTCCGCCCGGGCCCTGGAAGAATGCCGAGTTGTGGGGCCCAAGGTAGGGGGAGCCTATAACGTCTCTCGGTGTCTTTCGGATAGCTGCTTTGAGGAGCTTTTTCTCTTTGTTTGTCGAGGTGTTGGGAGATTTTTTGTGCGCGACCTTGCAGCCTCGCACCGCAAGCATGGTAGACCATCGTCGAAATTGGAAGAAGCTGAAGCCCAGGAGCCTCCAAGTCTTGCTCCACCTCAGAGGGAGGCTTTCTGCTCTCCCCCTCCTTGCCCCAACCTGCCCACGCCGCCATTTCTTGAACCCCAATAAAGCAGCTTCAAGTTCCCGGCGTGTATTTCGACTCTTCGACAGAGGGACCCTATAATTACAAAGCCTCACCCCCCCAACTTTACAGGGGAGTAAAGAAGATCTTCGGAGCTGCCAAGACTCTCCCGCATGCGCCGAGGCAACGAGGGGGCGGCTGGTTTGGCGCAGGCCCTGGAGCGGCTGGGCGGCGCCGGCGCGCTGCGCCGCCTCACGCTGATGCTCTTCAACAACGGCATCGGCGCGGGGGCCCAGGGGATCGAGCCGCGCAGGAAGACGTCTTGCAGCATTTTTTTGGCGGATGCAGTCAGGGAGCTTTTTGAGGGGGCTGCTGTGAGCTGAGGCTTTGCTTTTTCTGTGTGCCTATGTGTGAGCCAGTCGCATAGTTTCTTGCTTCTTTTCTTGGGTTCTTGGGAGTGACAGCTGAAGGGCAGGCTTAGGAGCTGGCTTGGTTCCAGGAACTCGGGTCAAGTCCTGAAGCCACCAGCAAAAGTGCTAAGCAGTTTCTTTTACAGCAAAAAAGAAAAACCAAAAGGACTAAATGAAAGCAAGGCGGGTAGCAGGTCGCCAAAAAACCCCCATGGTTGAGTGGGGCGAGAAGCCGGGGGGTTAAGTACGGTCTGACCGCGGGCGGTGAGGGGCGGCTAGATGCACCGCACTGGGGCCACTACAAGGCTTTATGCGGTGTGCAGGCACTAGTCTTGAAGTCTTGGAGCCGGGAAAAGGAGAGAAGGGGGAGTTCGACCCATCACGAGCAAAAGCTTCGGAGACACGGGCTTGTTATGCCCAATTTCGAAGGAGAGGTTGTGCAGCTTATAAGAGAGGATCCAAGCTTCAGGATGACACGGTTGATGAAAAGTTCCATCCGTTTTTCCAAGTCTTTTCTGTGTGACCTGTGGAAAAGGAACCATGTGCTTTGTCGTTCATTTCGCTCAAGAGTTCTAAAGCAGCAAGTGTATCCCCCAAAAGCACTCCAAGACGACAAAAGAACTCCGAAGCCACCTCAGCCTTAAGACCAGATTCAAAAGCCCAATAAACGCGACAGCAGTGCCTGCACCAATCCCCCTCGCCCCCGAAAAGACGCATGCGCGAACCCAAGCCAAGAGCAGCCGGGACAAGAAGGAAGAAAGCAAAAGCGCGGTGCCTGGCCACAGGGCGTCCCTGAAGGCTTCAGGCGCCTTTTATCTTGTTGAAGCTCGAGACATGATGCTAAAGATGTGAAAGGCGCGCGAAAATCCCAAGCACTTTCGGTTTATGGCGGGGAGCTGCGGCGAGTCTCACTTATGGAGCCGCTGTTCCACTAGATGTTCTTTGGGAATCCAAGAACCCCAATGCCCTAACCCCTCCTCCGCTGTGGGGATGCTCGTAGTCGCGAAAGCAAGGAAGTGAAGCCGACACAATCACAGCAGAACAAAGAGGAGAATTGCACTCGACCCCACCCCTTCAACGAGATTGCTTTCGCCCCCCCCCCCCCTCCCCCTTGGTCCCACCCCCCCCCCCCCCTCGGAACCCCTGCCCCCCCCCCCCGATTCCCCTTGGCGCAGGCGCAGAGGGCGCTGGAGCCCTGGCCACGGCGCTGGCCCCCCTGCGCCTCGAGGAGCCGAAGCCTGGGTTTGAAAAAACCGTTTTTGGTTCTCGGTGAGACCTTCGTTGCTTGCACCATGAAAATGAATGGCTCAGCCCAAAAGTCCAAAAGGGGGACGGGCTTTTGGGCTTCACAAGGGAAGTGGGCAAAAGCCGCTCAAGCCAGCTTGTTAGGTGGGCTTCAATGGGCGGCTTTATGTTTAAGGCTTGAAGGGTCCTCCCCCCTGCAGCAGCAGCCCAAAGCGGCTTCAAACTCAATTTTGGTCGGCCATTTCAGCAGCCACAACTTGTAGACAGAATCCAGCAAGGAATTGTGTCAGGCGCTTGCACAGTCTCGCCCAGATCAGGGTGAGGCAGATCCTTTCTTCTAGGCGAACCCACAAGTTGACTTCAGCACAAGCACAAGTCGGGACGAAAGCCCCGCAGGAACCCCCAGAAGCACTTTTCCGCCCTCGGAGGGATGTTCGCCCAATTCCCGTGGCCACGTCGGAGTTGTTTTGTTTTGACAAGAATGTGGGAGCGCCCGGAAGGCTTTGGCTAAAAACATGCCCCATAGCTCCAAGCAAGGTGTTGAAGTGCGGCCTGAAATCCGCGCGCAAACCCCACGAGAGGTTACCAGATTTCAGCCCTGCAGCTCCTTGATGCCGACATCTCCAAGCTCTCTGCGCATCTCTGCGCCCTCTGCGCCTGCCAGGAGCTGGTGCTGGACCTGAATTCCAACCAGCTTGGCCCGGGGCCCCCGGAAGAATGCCGAGTTGTGGGGCCCAAGGTAGGGGGAGCTATAACGGCTTTCGATGTTTTTCGATAGCTGCTTTGAGGAGCTTTTTCTCTTTGTCACTCAAAATCTTGGGAGATATATGTGCGCCACCTTGCAGCCTCGCACCGGAAGCATGGTAGAGTTGACCATCGTCGAAATTGGAAGAAGCTGAAGCCCAGGAGTCAGAGGGAGGGTTTCTGCTCCTCCCCGTCCTTGCCCCAACCTGCCCACGCACCCGCCATTTCTTGAACCCCAGCAAGCAGCTTCAAGTTCCCGGAGCGTATTTCGACTCTTCGACAGAGGCACCCTATAATTACAAAGCTCCCACAGCCTCACCCCCCCGACTTTACAGGGAGTAAAGAGGGTCTGCGGGGGATCTTGGGAGTTGCCACGGCTCTCCCGCATGCGCCGAGGCAAGGAAGGGGCGGCCGCCCTGGCGCAGGCCCTGGAGCGGCTGGGCGACGCCGGCGCGCTGCGGCGCCTCACGCTGATGCTCCGCATAAACGGCATCGGCGCGGGGGCCCAGGGGATCGAGCCGCACGGGAAGACGTCTTGCAGCATTTTTTTGGCGGATGCAGTCAGGGAGCTTTTTGAGGGGGCTGCTGTGAGCTGAGGCTTTGCTTTTTCTGTGTGCCTATGTGTGAGCCATTCTTGGGTTCTTGGGAGTGACAGCTGAAGGGCAGGCTTGGTTCCAGGAACTCGGGTCAAGTCCTGAAGCCACCCGCAAAAGTGCTAAGCAGATTTTTTCAGCAAAGAAGAAAAACCAAAAGGACTATATTATGAAAGCAAGGCGGGCAGCAGGTCGCCAAAAAATCCCCATGGTTGAGTGGGGCGAGAAGCCGGGGTGGGGGGGGGTTAAGTACAGTCTGACCGCGGGCGGTGAGCAGCACTAGATGCACCGCACCGGGGGCCACTACAAGGCTTTATGCGGTGTGCAGGCACTAGTCTTGAAGTCTTGGAGCCGGGAAATGGAGAGAAGGGGGAGTTCGACCCATAAAAGGAAACCTTTCGAAGCCTGCGAGAGGTTCAAGGCTCTCACACCAACAGACTCATAGAGAACCCGAACCTTGGAACAGACACACGCGAGGGCAACTTCGCAGCGGGGGAGCAAAAGCTTCGGAGACACGGGCTTGTTATGCCCAATTTCGAAGGAGAGGTTGTGCAGCTTATAAGAGAGGATCCAAACTCCAGGATGATACGGTTGATGAAAAGTTCCATCCGTTTTTCTAAGTCTTTTCTGTGTGACCTGTGGAAAAGGAACCATGTGCTTTGTCGTTCATGTCGCTCAAGAGTTCTGAAGCAGCAAATTTATCCCCCAAAAGCACTCCAAGACGACAAAAGAACTCCGAAGCCGCCTCAACCTCAAGGGGGCCCAGGGATGCCCAAAAAAAAAAAAAGGGAGGCCCTTGGAGGAGAACCGCTTGAAAACCCCTGAGAGTCGCAGCTTTTGGCAGGTGCAGCTTGAGAGCTTCTTAAGTGAGGATTCCGAGTTCTGAGGTTTGCTTTTGTTGATTTTTGCCTTGCTGAAGCTTCAGCCTCGCACTGAGCTGCGGCCCCTTGGAGAGGGAAGCGCACAGGCCAAGGAGCCCTGGAAAAAGAGGAAGGGAGCAGCAAGACACCCTCCCAGCACAGCTATATCTAAATCAAACGAGCATGTGGCGCAACAGCAGCAGCAAAAAGTCTGCCCTACGAACATTCTAGACAAAATGCCTTTTTTGTTGAGGGCCTTGAGGGAGTTGTCGACAGGAATCCCGAACGTGATGGGCAACCGCGGTTTTGCGCAAAGTCGGCCCTGAGGGCGGAATCGCAGCTTTGCGCGATCTGTGCACGATATCAGTTTGGTCTCAGGGCCCAGGAAGGTGTGAGCGGTATGCGGCAGGGGGGAAGAGCAAAGGACAAAGGCCCAAGGAGGCCTCGAAAGAGTTCTCCGGGTTTGACAAGCAGCGCTCCGAGTGCAAATAAGGCACTTCCATAACTGCCACAGTGTCACACAGTGCCACAGTCACTTCCTCCAAATCCAGGTCCTTGCAGGCACTGCACTGCGCCCGCAGCCGCACGCGATCCCAGAGTGCAGCCACGTGCGTAAAACGGAAGCGCCGCACCATTCCCGGGTCCTTGGGCCAAACGGAGTGGCATGGGCGCAGAGAAACAAGCCCCAGTCGGAACTGCGCCCCGAAAACTAGTTTATGCCTTGAGGAGTCGGAGCCTTTGGAGAGTTGAGAGTTTCGAGAGAGCTAGGTGGGGGTGGGAAGCCCAGCAGAGCACTCGAGGAAAATAGGCCGCACACGCCGAGGCTCGGACGCAAAAGCGGAGCTCCGCACATCGCTGGAGGCGCTGCCCATCGAGGAGAAGGAGATCAACATCTGAGGCCGAATGCTGGCGGGTGTGTGTGTGTGTGACATCGCAGAGATGTCCATGAGAGTGTTTTGTGAAGCCACTTTTTCCCGGTGCCTCCGGCAAATGCCGAAGAGCCAGAGGCAGTCAAAAGCGGCTGCCGAGATGCGTCAGATCATGCCAACTGTAATCTGATGCCCCCCTTTTCCCTTGCAACGCTCGCGCTCGTCGAAGGGACGACGCTCGACGGCACTGCTTCTTGGAATTGCATGCTCGTCTCGAAAGCACGACTTCTAATTAACATGTACTTTGCAAAACGCAGTTGTGCATTCATTAAGCGTACAGCGCGGGCCAGCTGTTGGGAAGAGCAAGTACACTGCCCCTCTGCATTGCACAGCTTCGCGCGCGAATCCCCAAAGTGTAGCACAGGGCGCCGCCGTGCCCGGACTTGCGGGTTGAGCTTGACCGGTTTAGGCCGCTTGATGCCTACAGGTGGAAACATGTTGCCCGATTGCAGCCCCGCCTCTTCCCCACCGTCCTTCTGCTTCTGGCTCGGCT